ACTTTATTTGGCAGGAAATGGCTGCCACATGTTTTTGAAAGAATGGAAATTACAAAACTAGTACTTTTGCAAAGCGAAAAAACCAGAATTTTTGGTATTTACAATTTTTGCTGTAACTAGAGATGCTGTTAATATTTTACAAAACTTCGCTGCACACAACATAGAAGAGGCTTTGCGCTATTGTATCTTAGTTTTGCTTTTCCCAGGAGCTGCTCTTGCATGAACGGAAAATAAAAGTTTGCGAATGTTACCTACGTGCCGGTGGAAATCCGTCTTCAAAACAAATTTAAAAGCTACAGACTGCTCAACAGGCACTGAACCAAAGCTGTATTTATTGCATACGTCTTCTAAATTAGAATTTATTGAAATTCGGCCATGGGAAACACTTTTTATACTTTTTAAACGGTATTTTTAAGTTTTTATTCGCGCAATTGTAGCCAAAATTCTGGTAAGCGAGGTACACGTGCTTCTAATTGAAAATCCATTATTTTTATTCCTAAGCAATGCAAAAAATTCTTTTGGAAGTATGTTGTAGACAAAAGTTTGCTCTATCACGCTGCGCATTTGCCAAGATAAAAGAAGCAGTTATTGTGAAGGCGTGGGGAGAATTCCATTACGACTACCTGCGTGCCATGACAGGTGAACTTGCCAAGATTTTGTAGGGCTGCGCGGAAGCCAAAAGAGGCAGTTTTGCTATTCAAGAACTGGGCTGTATCTGCAATGGTTCGAATTATGTGTGCGCCAAATTTTTCCTTTCTAGGTACTTCCCTTCTCGTTTTGTACAAAAAAGTACTAGGCTCCCAGACTTTTGCCCCACCCTGTATATTATAGTTGAAACGAGCGGAAAATTTCGTCGAACGAACGAATATCGAATACGATTAATCATTTGAAAAATACTCAAACGAACGAATATTATTCGATCTGTGATTTTCAGATTATTCGAATTCGAATATTCGAACAATGCTACATTTCAAAATTCGAATGATCGATTATTCGAATAAATGGGGTTGGCCGAATGTTCGACTATTCGAATAATCGAATAACTATATATGGTCGAATATTCGACTATCTGAATATTTGAATAATCATATCTGTCCGAATATTCAACTACTCGAATAATTCGAATATTCTAGTGGCCCAAATATTTCTGATTTCCTTAGTCGTTATATTTGATTTAGATTTATAGTTGATCCGTAGCAAGTGGCAAGGATGATTGGGTCACTGTTGCTTGGTCACGATTCTACCCAAAAAAAACGAGTTACTAAAGCATGCACTTCAAGGAGTTCATTGTTCTTTGAGAGGGCCAATATGCTTCACTTAGCAGCGTTTCAAGTCCGCATTTATTCCTTCTCACAAAAGTTCCTTCAGAGGTTACACAGAATCTTATCCTAAAGGCACAGATTCAACATGGAAAACCTTTTGTAGGTAATTGTTTGTAATTTAATCGTGATGATCAGCATTGCGTGAGTTCTAAGGCCAGCACTGAGAGAGCACGAGAAACTACAGTTATAGAATCAGTGAACCTCTGCAGCAGAGTTGACGCACTTTCGTCTGCATAATATTTTTGTGAGCATCTAAATCTAGAAAAAAAAGTCATGGAAATATCGGTTTATTAGCTGCTAATCTAATATTTGTCGGAAATTATCAATCGCTGAGTTTCACAGTTTCTGTTGTGACTGAATTTTCACAAAGTTGTTTTAGCTGTATTTCTGAGGTTTGCACTTTTGCTGCAAGGGATCCTCCACTCTTTAACTTAGGTTCAAAATAATTATTGTTTAACCTACACGCCTACTCAAAGAATTACTCCTTCATAAACTCTGTAACATTTTAAATCTGGTTTTTTACGCCTCCTGACTATAAAAGCGCCGATCTGACAAGGGAATGGTCAGAATTCGAAGTGGCCAATTCGAACAGGCTGCAAACCATTAGATGCAGCATGAAGCGTTGGCTGTAAATCTGTCTTCCTTATCTGCTTGTCGCTTTTCTGGAGAAGCTATAAGCCACTAAAGACCACTATTTTGCTAAGAAATTATGCGTGAAATTGAAAGTTTGGCCATACGAAGCCATGTTCGGCTCAATGCTGGCCCATGCAACTAGGTTATTTCAAACAACAATGTGCTCAATTTCGCAACTTTATGTACGATTTTTTCGCAATTTGCTTGCAGCTTCGTCCACAGAAGTAAGCAGACAAGAAAGGCAAATTCGAAGTCAGCGTTTTATGCTGCATCAAATGGTATACAGCTTGTTTGGTTTGGCCACTTCGACTTCTGACCATTCCCTTGTTATGGTGACTGACATACAGGCTGCCGCCACCAGTGAAGCGGCTCAGGCCCTCGCGACCGCCTTGCTCTAGCCTTCGCTGGTTAACGAATTCTTCATGTATTTTGACAAGCGGGCAATGGCTAGGCTGGCAAGGTAAAAGTAGATCTCTGGATGAAGGAATAAATGTTGCAAATTCGTGCGTCTCAAAAGGCTGCTGGTTTTTCACATGCTTATGCAGGCTGTTTGAGGAGCAGGGCCCGTAGTAATCCACCCGGCATGTTGGCATAAGACATGACGGCAACCTCGCGAACCTCATGACAACCTCGTTTTTTGGGCGTGAGGTTCGCCAGTTCCCATGCTTTCTTGATTGAAGCAACCACAAAGCAATGTAACGTCGATCGCAAAACCATTGCACCTGCTATGATAGAACTCTCCTCTGCCCAACGAGAGTCCAGCACGTTAACCAATAAGCTACACGTGTGCACTACGCTTCATTATGAGAAGGTTGATCAAGATCATCAGTCGCTTCCTCATTAACATGTTCATCATGTACATGTGCATTATTGAGCTAGCCATTCATGTTGAGGGCGATTTTCTTTCAATTCTTTGTCAAATAACACCGCAAAATAAACATGCAGGGTGCCCCAAAACTACCTGCGCCAAATTTGGAGCGCTGCCACGGAAAAATCACTGAGAAATATAGGCTGGAATTAGTGTCATACAGGGTATCCCAAAAAAATGTATCGAACGTTTGGTCGTTAATATCTCTCTTCCCAAGTAGTTTTTTGCCTTGCTTTAGGTACCATTTTGTAGAGCTGGCTTCAACTTAGATTCGCATTATAGAACGAATCACTCATCTCTCTTCATTACTGTAGGATTACGATAGAAACTTGAAACATATGGTGTCAATGTGGAAAAAGCTGCCATTTCAAAATTTTTCAAAAAAAATGTGAAAACTTGTGTATTGGGGTTTTTATGGACGCTGAGTTCAATACTCAACTATTCATAAGATTACGAAGCTTTCTAAACGGTGTAACCGTACTTTTTAGGAACACTGAAAAAATGGCCGCTACCTCTTACCCAGCATAACTCTTCAATGAAGCATCATAATAAGTTGGGAACTTTACAGTTAGAATCAACAACTCTAGTTAGCCTAGTGTAAAAACTTCAGGCTGTTTTGTCTCCTTTCTGAGGCAAGAAATGGCCTTTCATTGCTTAAAACCCTCTTTGAAGTTTCTACCGTAATCCTACAGTAATGAAGAGAAATGAGTGATTAGTTCTATAATGCAAATCTAAGTTGAAGCCAGCTCTACAGATTGGTACCTGAAGCAAAGGAAAAGACTTCTTGGGAAGAGAGATATAAATGATCAAATGTTCGATACATTTTTTTGGAACACCCTGTAGAATGCCCTAATCAAACTTTACAAGAAATACCTTAGAGAATACAAAAACATCTCTTTTCAAGTTTGAGGATTAAACGAATCAGACTAGCGGTTTTGAAAAAAGCAAAAATGAGGTTCCTATAACTTCTTACTTTGCTGAACTTTACCTGATGAACTCGAAGCCTTTGTGAGTAACTCCAAGCTGATGTTGTAGAGCACACTTTGCGTTATCACATATAGTCCTGGTTGCGTTTACAAGAATTTGTTCTTTTGTGGATTACGAAGATGTATTTGCGAAGAATACCTGCGTACAACAGCAACCTTATGCTCAAAATTGATTGCAAAACTCCAGATACGCAAAACCCTCCAGGTTAAGGGCATTTCTCTGATTCTCAGGCGCACTCAGCATGGCCGAAATACCACTGTTTATGAAAACACAAAATCACAACCAAATACATCACTCAATGCCGTAAGTAACACTGCGCCAGGAGCGTTGCTGCACCATTGGCTGAAATGCGCCGCGGCGTCGCTTTTGCGCCGGTCGTACCTCCTAACCGTTCCCCAAGTAAGGCGACAACCACTATCTCAGCGGCTGGCTGCTTACATCGTTCATGACAAAGAAGAATCTAAACTTTGGTTCGAACCGTGGCTTCCCAAGCGGAGAACCAACAAACTACGGCAGTACGGTAGTAAGTAGTTTGGTGTGATTTGAGAAATGAATTTCTCAGGACTAGATACTATTACTGCTGCTTTGGGCAATGGGGTTAAGGTCTCACCACCACTTCTAACGATAAATGATACTTAGTATTCTTACTTCCTAGACACTGCCTCCAAAGAGTTGCTGAAATGAAAGCTTTGCAACTTTTTGAGCATCGGCGCAAAGAATTCCCAACAGCCTGGAAATGTACAATCGAGCACATTTGTCGGTGATCGTAGTCCTTGCGGTGCCGAAATCTCGCGGTAATCGTGCTTGAACAGAAAGCTACCAAAATTCCGAAATTTTGCACGAAATGCAGGCAAAATTGGCTATAGGAGAAGGGCTTTTCCCCATACAAATCGAGTTGTACAAATCGTGGTCCCCAACTTTTTAGCCGCGTTTCCGCCATCGCAGACACGGCCGGGGCGTGCGGTTGCTGATTGTGAGAGAAATAGCTGCTGCTCACGCTTAAATTTTACAGCAAAAACGCAGCACAATGGTACTGTATTCACCGACAAATCTGCTCGACTGTACCATTGCTCAAGCAGTCTTCCTCACTCACACAAAAATGCTCATTTCAAAGAAGCTTTTTCAAATAGTTTACGCTCTCATAGTGCATCACTTAGTGTGTTTGTGAAATTGTTGCTGGATCGGAAGGCTTATCTCAAAACAAATGATAGCCGTGCAAACATAATTATTGTTGAAACAACATGGTAGTACAAAGATAAAAACAACACAAAACAAGAGGTGTTTAGCTTTGGAAGATTGTGTAACAAGAGCCGCGCAACGTCACCAAGCGTTCCCATATCAGCATTCACACACTCACCTAAACAACAGTGATGCGGATTAGGTAGTAATAAACTAGTTTAATACCTATTTGAGAGACATTCAAGCAACATACTGGGTAGTAGGATTTGCTGAGACGAAGAATAGATGTTGACAGAGGAACACCATTTGCAAATCTATAACATAAGCATTTTTACAGATTCAAATTAAACTTCAAAAGTTGGCGGACACGACGCCTTTTCTTTCGTGAGATGCGCAATAAAAGCATTTATATTGAACTTCGCTTTAGTTATGTTTGAAGCACTTTGAAAACTCAGGCTACGTCCAAAATTGCCGATGTGCCCGTCCCGTGCTCTACATAAAACTGGCATACAACGCCTTCGTTCACTCTCATCAACGGGCACGGGACGGAAGATGGTGCTCTGAACATTTCCTTACACATTGATGTCGACATTAACGTGAATGAGCGCACACGTCATAAATTGAGATAGATGGACTTTTTCTTCGACACCATGCAAGGAAGAAAGAGCGAGCGCATCATTATAAAGAAAACGCATTCATTGAAAGAAGATGCTTACTTCGCTGACAGTAGAATGGACATCCTACTCTTCGTTCCCGTTGCGTCCTTTGCTCAGTCATGGCCCAGAACTTCGCCAAATTCACTCGCTTTCACACTTTATCCAACAAAAAGCTACAAAAATGCAAGCTTGAGAAATTGCAAATCACTCACGATCTCCATAGTATCTCATAATATGCAAAACGAAAGCGATCACATGTGCATTGAGTTGTTGCGCTCCTTGTGACGCATAGCGAAAGACTGCCATCGTCGTTTCTTCGATTTACTTACAATTAGATTAGCTAGTCCCAGGCCATGGCGGCTGTATAAGCGAGGCGTGCGGCATAAAAGGACCCTGCATACATCACGCGATTTCATTGCCTCGCGATGAGTACTACCACAACCGAAATACAAGATGATCGGAATGCAGTGGGAAGGACTGTAGATCCGCCCTTAGCTGGGGATCCCTCGATTGGAGCACGGATCCTGTTTGGAGCGCCATCTCTTACCGCTCGTTCTTAACAGCATCTTGACATGCAGGATTTGTTTTCAGTTTTTTGTAACTTTCATTTGCGGTCCCTCACTACTGGAGGGATGTTTTATATCCTAAGCACTTCATTAGGTACGCTCCAGAATGCTGTAGGCTATGAACAGTGGAGACACAGTCTACCTAGTTCAAACAAAAATTCAATATCACGAATTTTGCTGAAAGTTCTCTTTCGGGGCTTATTTTACCTGCAGATTACGAAATGATACTCATTTCGCATGTATGGCCTTTGCCGTGTAGGTCAGGGTCTCAGATCCCGCTGGAGCTTTGCACGGGGGCACATGGTATTCGGCATACTATCACGAATACCATGTGCATTCTTTGAGATAAGTCGTTGTAACTTTGCCCAAAGAGTTATGCAGATAACGAATAAAAAATTCGTTCGTCATGGTAAAGTCTTAAGTTATAGTGGGGATGCGACTTGGGGACGTAGTCGCAGATTTGTGTGGAAATTCGCCTAGAGCGACTAGTCGCGACCTTGAGATTTGAAGAAAGAGTTGCCTTTTTGCTCTTGAAGACCCTTCAGCAAAGTTACAGTAAATATGCGGCAACCGGTCGATTCGTATGGAACTTTGTGAAGGGGGGTTGTCTGACCTTTCGATCACGTATATTGCGCTCATCTCGCATAATACGGCTTTGTGGGTTTTTGAGACCTAAATTGATCTAACAAGGGAAGGATACTTGGTCGAAATGGCGTCTATGTACACTATCTTATAAAACATGCAATGCTGATCCATGCAATGCAATCAAAATCTGCTTTCCTTATCTGCAAAGCGCCTCTGGGAGGAGAGTTTCAAAAATTTTCGATACAACAATCCGAAAGCGAGGCTACAAGCATTCAGAACCTTGATCCGTGAGCTCAGATGGGGCCATGATTACTACAAGGGGCTTTTATGCAATAAATGCCTCCAATCTAATAAACCCATGTCAGTCATTACTCCTTTTAAGTGCCGAAACTATTAAACTATTAAACTATTAAATTCATGACTCAAGCCTGTTCTTTACCTTAGACAAATCATCACATTTTTACCTCGAAAGCACTTCCCTCCCAAAAGCGCTTTGCAGATAAGGAAAGCAGATTTGTAATCAGCGTTTTATGCTCTATAAGATAGCTTCGACCAAGTACCCTTACCTTGTAAGAACCAAAAAGGGGTCTACCTATGTATATGCTCTATCATAACCAAATTGCAGCCAAGTACGTAACTGCCCCTCACCGCACCTCCACCCCGTAACTTCACCAGGCTTGGGGTTGAGCCAGACTTCGCAGGGAAAGCGGCGTACGCGGCGTACGCTGCGTACGCTTGGTATATTTCATCATAGGAGCGTACGCGGCGTACGCTGCGTACGCCGCTTTCCCAGCGCAGTCTGGCCCAACCCTTGCTGTGCGAAAAGGCGATTTTGCGATCAGTGTGTCGAATGCCCTATGGACGAAGTTCAGCAAAATATAAGATTTCGAACCTATGCGTATACACGCCAAAATAAGGTGCTAGCGTGACGGATGAATATGTTATTTGTGAGAAGCATGCTAAACAACCTCCCCCCCCCCACACACACACAAAAGGTTTCAGTGAATTCGGAGATTTTCATTAGGGGTCGACTGGGGTAGTAGTAAAAAATCTATCATGCGAAATGAACGCGATTTATATTATTAGCGCGTCAGATACCCCTCATGCCCAGAGTTCCAGGCAGATCTTCGCTTCCTGCCTCTAAACCCAGTGTAACTCCGCGAGAAGGTATCAAAACTTAGAAAAGTAGGGTATCCGTAATCATGTATTGGAGAAATTCTTTGACAAAGTTCTGAGCAAATTTGTAACTTTTTCGTATTGGATTGCTGGAAGTGGACTGATCAAATCGCATGTGTACTGGGGAAAGCTCGTATCACAAAATGTCGGATATTCCTTCCAGCAAAGATTCGTAGTGCTGTACCGCTGATTTTTCCATCGCTAGCTCGGGCACAAGCGTACTCAAGGCATACAAATACTAGGTAATGAACATGCTGAATCAAATTTCAACGATCTTCACGGCTTTCAGCCGAACAAGGCCGTTCGATGACGCCATTCTGAAGAGTAGTTAGTTCAGCGTTCAGAACGGCTTCGCTTCCAAGGCGGATCAATCGAAGTGTAAAGTTACCGCATTTGCCAATACTCGCTTAGTCAAAAAAAGATGTGTTTCAGAGTTTGTATCCAAAAGCGCTCTTTGATACTAAATCCCGAGTATGTGCTAGGAAGTGCAAATGGAAGTCTTAGAGAGCTTAAACAAAATATGCTTGCCGAAATCCCTGGAAAAGACGAGGAGTAGCTATGGCGCTCCAAACAGAATCCGTGCTCCAGTCGAGGGATCCCCAGCTAAGGGCAGATCTACAGTCCCTCATGCAGTGGACTCGTAACTCTTTGTCTTGTTGGAAGAAATTCGGCGATGAAATCGGCTGATGTATGTCTGGCCCTTGAGGCCTCGGACAGAGTTTACGCGATTTGATCGTCGCGATTCAATCGCTACAAGACTTTCTGTTACGAGTCCACTGCATGCCTATCAGCCTGCATTTCGGTTGTGATATTTTTCCAGCTCGAAATTTTTGGATGTAAAATGAAAATGAATGAAAATGGCGGCGATTGAATCGCGACGATCAAATCGCGTGAACTCTGTGCGAGGCCTAAGGGGCAATATGGCAAAAATGAGCTTAGTGATAAGACCCTTATGAAAGAAGCGTTAGGTTAAAAAAATACTCGAGAGCAAGTTTCTACAATATTTTTTGCAAAGGGAACTTACAATTCAACTGGAGGCGACTCTGATACAGCTAACAATCGAAATGGCGATGCTTCGCGTCAGCTTTCTAATCGAATTTAGCCTAGTAAACATGCATATGGGAACGAAAAGGAGATAGAGAGGCGACAGTCATCCGAAATTTCATGTAAACGAAGTCAGATAGGTCTATAATTCCTACCATTTGCTGCTAACAATCCGTAAAAATGTTAACTATAGCACGCCTCTCTAGCAGGTGGTTCATCTGTCAGATCATCACCGAGAACTCGCATGAATTGAGCTTTTCAATATCCAGCTGAAGAGAGGCAAAGGAACAAATGAAATAAAAAAAATATAAACCAACCAGTAATAAGGTACCAGGAAGAAACTCGTTGAAAGTCAGAAAATCCAAGCATGATGGCTACTCATTTCAGTGATGCTTGAATCACAAGAACCCCAACACCCTAATAAGCTGAATATTGAAGTTTTAGCAAGGCGTTGAGATATATAAGTACAAACACACCTGTATTAATTATAAGCGCTCAAAGTGACCAAGAGTTGAAGAGTAGGATCGAGGACTATGAGAGCGACGAAGTGCTTGAAATCTTGCCTAGAAATGCAATTTGGTTACTTTCCAAAATGAACAAAAACCAAAAAAAAACTTACCGTCTAATAGTCAAAAGGCAAATGGAGATTGTCGTACAACGTAGATGCTATAACCGAAAGATTCGGTAAGCATTCTATACATAGAGCAGTCAAAGATAGACTAGATTTTAAGAAAAGAGGATCTGTCAAAGGATTCCAATAAAAGCAGTCATGAAGGAAAGTGAAATTTTACTGAAACGGGATCTTTGCCTTTCATGTTTCCAAGACGTATTGTAATAAGCAATAGGGGCAATTCTTCGCGGAATCCAGTTAGCAGCACTGAGAAAACTAAACACATTAGCTGGTAGCAACTTAACAAGCTCTGGAGGGCTCTGTTAAATTGTTACAGTCGTACCAGCTGCGAACAACGCTCATATCCATATGACGCAAAGGCTTTAATCTTTTGAAGGCACAAAATCACTCTGTATCCCTCGAAAGGCTTCGGAAAGCGTGCTACTTGATTCAAAAAAGCGCTTGAGGATCGTGTTGAGGTAATGCGTAGGAAAGGCTCGCAACCTTATAGTTCATTTATAAAATCGTGATGACGGATTTTACTGCGGACTTTGCGCCCATCGGAGCATCGGGTATGGGTATGGTTTGCGCCCATCGGGTATGATAGGCACAAGGCCTCAAATTTCTGGATTTATTAGTACAGCAAAAAGAATACTTGGTGTTGACCTAAATCCGAATCAGATGCATCCAGCACATCAAATTCCACCGTTGGTGATGGAGGAAGATCATCACGAGTCAGTGTGTTAATATTTTGATCTGAACCAGGATCAAGAAAGTGCAAAGCAACTAACTTTTTCTGTACGGAGTATGGCCACCAATGGATGTGGCACGGAACGATGAGGTGTTACTTTTAGCCGCAAAGACAGGAGGAAAGAAACACCTAAGGCCCTGGCCAGACTTCGCTCAAAAGCGCTCAAAGCGCCCAAAAATGCCCAAACTTCTCTAACCTCTCCTCACTCTCTCTCATCTCTCCTCACACGAAAAAGTGAAGAGACACCAGAGAAATATGAGCGCTTTTGAGCGCTTTTGGGCGCTTTTGGGCGCCTTTGAGCGAAGTCTGGCCAGGGCCTAAAACCTTATACTTGTTCGATAAAACAGTATTTAGTTAGGGTTTAGGGAAGTGAAGAACAATAGCAACGAAACGCCGAATCTGACAAAAGCAAAAAGATAAAATGAAAAAGAATCATAAAAGAACCAAAAAAGATAATTAGACAAACCTTCATAGAGAAGATGTGTCA